CAGCAGACTTTGTGAAAATTAATATTTGTGTCATTCTCAAAACTTTTGGCCACCAATGTATATGGGTAATTTAGTGCAGCAATAAATCAGCTCAGACCTGATACTGTAGATATTACTCAATATTAGCTACAAATACTTCTGATGTGCAACTGGAGCTGTTCCAGAGCCTCAGACAAAGACTGTGGTGATGGATGAAGATACCAGCAGGAGGAGGACTGTCTGTTTGAAATGCTTCATATTAGCTATAAAGTTAAGATGTCTGTGCAGGATACAGAGGGTCTACACATAACAGCTCAACCCACATGTTATACAGAGATACAGAATAGTGTCCCACATGGTTTAAGTTACTCCAAATTGTGCTTTAAAAAGTCCATTAAAAATATTTCATATAATTTTATTACAATTTGAAATAATGAAAATAATGATCCATTCAGGACATTTACTTGTCATTTATGCTGTTAGTCTGTGTTTGTGCACTGAGAGCAACGTAAAACCGGAGCTAAATCCCTTGTATGTGCGCACATACAAGGCCAATTAAAGTGATTCTGCTGGTTTTGTTTTCCCTTCTCGTAGGTAGCTCCACCGTGAAATAAAAGTGAAACTTAAGTCCAGCCTGACATCTTTTCTTTGGGCTGCCTTTCCCCATAAACTAGGAAAATAAAATAACAAAAGTACAAACAAAAACAAAAAATACCCAAAACACAAAAGTGGTTCCTTCACATATAATATAAATAAGGCTGGGCAAGTTAACGCATTAATTAACACTGACAATTATTTTATCTCGCATTTTTTTACTACGATTATTATTATTATTATTATTATTATTATTATTATGAAGGTCTGTTGCTCACTGTCTCTGAATACACATCCAGACAAACCATGGGTCACAGGAGGGGAGTGGAGGGAGGCAGACTACGTTGGATGCAGCGTGTGGGAGAAGTATCGATAAACAAAAGCAAGACAAGCGACCAAATGCCACAGCGACTGCAGGCCGATTAATCCTGTGGAAGATAGGATCGCAACAAATGACGCCACTATGAGCCTCCTTCAAGACGCACCATCACAAGAACAATGCACGACTTGGATGAAAAGGAGAAGACTACAAAAGCGACGGCGTTACAAAGTTCACCAACTGTTGCTCTCACTGGAGACTACTGGACATCACTGGGTAACCATAGTTACCTCAGAGTTACAGTGCATTATATTGATGGACAGTGGGAGCTGCACTCACATACTCTGGCTGTAATGGAAACAGAGACATTTTGTTTGCACACTATTGTAAGTGCTACTGTGTAAAGGGAATACTGCTGTTAAAAAGCAACTTATTTGTTCAAAGTGTAAAGTTGTGTATAAATGTAAACCAAGTATAATTGCACCTTTGTTCATATAGCACGTTCAAAATAAAAGTGCGCAATACACTACTTTTGAATTCATTATTGAATTTTAAATAATGCGATTAATCGCGATTAAACATTGCAACGGAGCTGCATAGTTGGCTTATAGAAAAATAAGAAATGGGAAATTAGAAAAGAAAATTTGAAAAAACAAAACAAAAAAAGATTATAAAAAGGTCCAAAATCTTAAGGTATGCTGTTCTGCTTCATCATTCCTCAGGATCAACAACTGATCATAATCATGGTATTAGTATTAAAGTTTTAATATTAGATGATGTAAATTGTAAATAGTGATGTGAAGTAATTAGTCAACATTTCAATAGTCAATCATATTGCAGTTTTATTGAGCAATTCTCTATCTGTAGTCATTCACAGATTTTGCATGATAAATTTCTTTTTATTTTTCCTGAGTTACAGATTAGGTTTTCTCCAGAGCCTCAGAGAAACAGTGTGATGATGGCTGAGGATATCATCAGGAGGAAGACACTGGAACCAGTTGGTATGGCACTGTTACACAAGTCCTCTTTGCAGCATTTCATGGGACTTATACAGGTGCTACTCAACATGCAGCTCTTGATGGTGACACCTGAAAAATATAATGGAAAAACCTCAGTGTCACCGACACAAAACAAAAGACAACAGGCATTCAGTACATAAACATATCAGCTCCATCTATTTGAAATGCTTAATATTAGTGATAAATTGTTCTGTTGTAGAAAAACAACTTACCATTCACTGTGGTGGTTGAACAACTGTCCATCAGGGGAAGACAAGTTTTGGGCTCGCAGGATTTACTGCCACCATTACATTCGTAGCATCTCAGTCCACATGCTACACAGAAACACAGTCACACGAGTCACACACAAAAATAACATATTCAAGGCCACATTCTATACAGAAATACATTATGGAAAAATTATTATTACTCTACAGAGAGGATGCGAGTGGTGGTATTTTATTAACATCCGAAAATATTCCAGTCCATTTAAAAACTAAGATAATGATCACACACTACTTTAACAGCTACTACCTTTTTCATGTTTAACAATAACTTTGACACACTCATAACTTTAATGTATTTGTGTTACGTCAAGCTAAGATCATGATTCATGTTCTTACCTGTAGACAGAGTCACCAACAGGACCAGAACTCCATAAAACTGCATTGTTAACAGAGACAACAACAATCAACCCTGAGAGATGTGAATTACTCTAGAGAGAAGATGTGAACTCTCCTAAAGCCTGTCTTTTATAGTCCAACTTCTCAGTCTTCTTCATTTCCTCACAACGCCTCCTCCCATTTGAACTAAAGCCAGCTCATTATTCTTAAGACAACCATGTAGACTACATACAGTCTTGTAAATAGATACAGGAACTAAAAGTGACATGAAAATAGCAGATTGAGTTCATACATCAACATTTGACATTTATTTTGCAGTGTACATACAAATTCCAAAACTCTAATGTAAAATGTTTTGGTAAGTTTATTTTCTATTCGAAAAAATGGTTGAATGTGGTGAAGGTGTGTAGGAGGAAACCTGAAAGCAAATAATTTCTCACAGTATGTGTATACTGTGTATATGTTTTTACTGTTTAAAATGCACAGTTTTTAACATGTAGGCAAAATCCTGCTCACCGTATATAGTGTATATAGATATGCATATACTGTCCATAACTATCCACGAAATCCATGAATTTCTAAACATTTGCATTATTTGTATTGTTAAAACTCTACAACTTACAGAAACACATGACTCTTTTTTTTTTAAATGTATACACCTATGTTTTTTTTTTTTTTATATACTTGCGTCCTGTCAATTCTTCACCTTCATTTGTTGTCAGCTTTGTTGTCCTTGTTAGCTGTTATATCTATTCCTGGGTAAGTATATTGAAAATAATAAAAACAAAAACAGAGTCAAATTCCTTGGAACTTATGTGTTGCACATACTGACAAAATAAATCGGATTCTGCATCAATGTTTTGATGAGAGCTTGATGTGGGCTGTAGCTTAACTGACACTCTGTGGTTGAGAACTCAGGTTCTGTTTGTGCTTCCACACATCAGCCTTATTTTAGTGATCGCTTTCTGCCTTATCTGTGTGGTTTTCAAATAAAAGTGATTGGTGGGAGTGGGAAAGAATCAGGCACTGGTTACTTATTTCACTTTTCAGAGATCAGTACATGATTTAAACATACCACCTGACCTATTTGAAAGCAAGCATGGGGTAAGCAACAAGATGCACACGACTCCAACATATAGTTCGACTTCTGCTTCTAACTGCTCATGCTTGTCCGGAGAAATACAATAAAAGCATCTGATCGGCTGAGCATCTCCTCTATTAATGTCGTGCTCAATAAGATGAGTATGATATTTGCAAACAGACAGGGATGACTTTTAATTAGATTCACCAACTCAGTTTGTTTTGGTTCAAGTAAATGTTTCAACATTTCATCTAGATTGGTAAATGACTGAGAGTTTTTAAGACGTACTCTCAACATGCTATCATCTGGTGTGCTGCACTCTTCCTCCAAATCCTCTGCCGGATCAAGAGGTAGGGGTGAATGACCCACTGGTACCACAGTGGATACAGAGGAAAGCAATGACCCAGAACCTGGCACAGGAGAGCAAGCAAAGTAGGATTTTAAGAGGACACTGTATAAGGGCCAGAGAACTTGGCCTGGGAAGGAGAGCCAACTAAAGACAGAATTGCCAGAACTTGATCACCAGGATTAGGCCAGTAAAAATGTTGCATGACTCGATCATACATCTTTCTAACATCTAAATGCCCTGCAACGGCATCACAAGCAGTCTGATGTACAATAAGTCTTTATGTAGAGGGCAAAGCAATGTGCACAATATCATCCCCCTCAAAATACCTGCCTGGGTATCCATTTTCTCACCAACTGGCCGTCTCGGAGAAGGTACCCATAGACTCTCCACTCATCATCT